ATTTCATTCATTTGATCCTCAATCGCTGATACTCTTTCTTCCAGTTGATCGAGTCGGTTACTGAAGCTTGTGCATTTGTCACGTATTTCTCGTGTCATGGTTTTCATCTCTTTCATTTCGTTTATGACCTTCTCTGCATTAATTACTCTAGCCATTAATTCTTCCACTTTTTTTTCAAGATTTTTTAGTTTCTTTGCGCTGGGTACGTAATTCCTCCTTTAGCTCTGAGAAGTTTGATGGACTGAAGCCTTCTTCTCTCATCTCGTCAAAGTCATTCTCCGTCCAGCTTTGATCCGCTGCTGGCGATGAGCTGTGCTCCTTTGCCGGGGGAGATGTGCTCTTATTTTTTGAATTTCCAGCTTTTCTGCCCTGCTTTTCCCCCATCTTTGTGGTTTTATCTGCCTCTGGTCTTTGATGATGGTGACGTACTGATGGGGTTTTGGTGTAGGTGTCCTTCCTGTTTGATAGTTTTCCTTCTAACAGTCAGGACCCTCAGCTGTAGGTCTGTTGGAGATTGCTTGAGGTCCACTCCAGACCCTGTTTGCCTGGGTATCAGCAGCAGAGGCTGCAGAAGATAGAATATTGCTGAACAGCGAGTGTACCTGTCTGATTCTTGCTTTGAAGGCTTCCTCTCAGGGGAGTACTCCACCCTGTGAGGTGTGGGGTGTCAGACTGCCCCTAGTGGGAGATGACTCCCACTTAGCCTACTCAGGGGTCAGGGACCCACTTGAGCAGGCAGTCTGTCCCTTCTCAGATCTCAACCTCCGTGTTGGGAGATCCACTGCTCTCTTCAAAGCTGTCAGACAGAGTTGTTTGCGTCTGCAGAGGTTTCTGCTGCGTTTGTTATTGTTTACTGTGCCCTGTCCCCAGAGGTGGAGTCTACAGAGACAGGCAGGTTTCCTTGAGCTGCTGTGAGCTCCACCCAGTTCGAGCTTCCCAGCGGCTTTGTTTACCTACTTAAGCCTCAGCAATGGTGGGCGCCCCTCCCCCAGCCTCGCTGCTGCCTTGTGGGTAGATCACAGACTGCTGTGCTAGCAATGAGGGAGGCTCCGTGGGCGTGGGACCCTCCCAGCCAGGTGTGGGATATAATCTCCTGGTGTGCCCGTTTCCTTAAAGCGCAGTATTGGGGTGGGAGTTACCCGATTTTCCAGGTGTTGTGTGTCTCAGTTCCCCTGGCTAGGAAAAGGGATTCCCTTCCCCCTTGCGCTTTCCAGGTGAGGCAATGCCTCGCCCTGCTTCAGCTCTCGCTGGTCGGGCTGCAGCAGCTGACCAGCACCTATCGTCTGGCACTCCCCAGTGAGATGAACCCAGTACCTCAGTTGAAAATGTAGAAATCGCCGGTCTTCTGTGTCACTCGCGCTGGGAGTTGGAGACTGGAGCTGTTCCTATTCGGCCATCTTGCTCCGCCTCCTCCTTTTAATTTTTGTCATTGAAAAACATCATAGAGGTGAACTGAAACCACTACGCTCTTCCAAGTGTGTTCTACCTCATGGTAAACATTGGGGATATCATTTTTCCTGACTCTGCAATGAGATTTTTTTCCTTTATGGCTAAAGTTGCACTGTTTGTTGTGCTTGGCTTCAGTGTGAAGTTTGGATGATAAAGCAGGTTCATTTTGCTTGGCTCATGAGAATGGTGGCTTTTCCCTTTTTTTTTTTTTGTTCCCCAGAGAGGTGGAGTTGCCGTGACGGAACACATATTGTAATTATCATAGTTTTCTTCAAGATCTGGCCTGTACTTGCCTCATCTGTGAATTTCACATCAGACACTGGTCTTAAAGTCTCTGAACTCTGCAAGTCACTTCATGTGTGTCACCGCACTGGGGAGCGATGACACCTGGCTTGTCGCCATTAGGGACCACTTGTGGCCCAGGGAGCATTCTTGTCAGACTTAGAGTTATAAGTTGGCTGTGAAGGAAACGTGACAGGCTTTTCTTTGCCTCCCACTTGGTGCTCACCTTTCATAGGGAGAGTGAGAGACATAATTCTGCTGCTTGGCTTCCCCCACAGAAGAACAAGTGGGTCCTTCTGCCTTTCCTCGCTGCAGCCCTCTTGAGGAGGAGTGGAGAGGCACAGGGGCTGCTGGTGGAGGGCAAGGGTGCCTTTGCTCAGGAGTGCCTCTGAGCCCGTCAGTTTTCACCCTGAGTTTCTATGACAGTGGACACTGCCAAGGGGAGTCTCATCTTGGTGACTCTGTGTGAATCTCCTCTGAATTCAAGCTTCAGGGCATCTCCTGGGAACACCACTGTGTGTTGGAGAGGCAGTCCAGCCACTCAGAGGGTCAAATCAGTTTTCACAAGTAGTTTTTAAACAAAAGTTTAAAAAAGCAAACCAATAGGCTGGGCACAGTGGCTCACACCTGTAATCCCCCAGCACTTTGGGAGGCTGAAGCAGGAGGATCGCTGGAGACCAGCCTGGGCAACATAGTAAGACTCTGTAGCTACAAAAAATTAAAAAATTAGCCAGGCTTGTGGTGCATGCCTGTAGTCTCAGCTCCTCAGGAGGCTGAAGCAGAAGGATTGCTGGAATCCCAGAAATTGAGGCTGCGGTGAGCCATGATTGCGCTACTGCACTCCAGCCTGGGCGACAGAGCAAGACTCCATCTCAAAAACAAAAACCAAAAAACCAACAAAAGTGTTTACAGTGCATAAAACTCAGAAAACAATCACATTATTCAAAGGTAACTAAATATTGGTGTATATTCTCTTAATGTATTTTCTGTACCTACACATACTTTCCCCCAAAAGGGTGTCATACTGCTTTCGTCACCTAATGACCTATGGTACATAGGTTTCCATGTCAGTAAAATATTCTTCTTGTGATTTTTAGATGGAATGATAGCATTTCACCATCCAAATGATAGTACTGTTATTTACTAGTAAACATGCCCCATTATTGGAAGCTGTCCCTTAGAATCTGTGACATCCCTATTAACAACTTCGAGGGCTTGTAAACATAACAGCATAGAACCCCAGTCTCCAGGCAGTCAGGGGATTGTCCTCCAGGACATTCTTGGACTTAGGAGCAGGATCTCAATTCTCCAAGAAATAACAGTCTCGTGTTATTTTGGTTCCAAACAGGAAAGCTTTACGTTTTTTGATTGTGGTGTTCCATAAACCCCTACTGATATATTTTAATAATAAAAGTGGGTCTTAAAGAAAACTGGTCTGATAGATGAGTCTCAGTTGGGCATTAAGGTAATAAGGTAGTAGTCGCTAGTCCAGATGCTGTCTGAGGCCAAGGATCGATTTTCTGGTGTCACCTTGCTGGCATGTGGGAACTGCATACGTGTTGTGTTCCCAGTGATGCTTTTCTAGGGGACTATGTGTTAAGATTCTGGGACATTAAAAGCATCCATCATGGTTAGGATTTTATATTTGCCCTCATTTTGATATGCAGAAGCCATCAAAACATTTAGTAGCACATTTGTTATTTAACCCCTTTTATATCCTAGTTGAGCAGGAAACCTCCTTGCAGAGTCATTTTCACCATGAAATTTCTTGACTAACTGTAGTTCAAATTGAAGCAAATTCGAAAAATTCAGTGTCTCTTCCACCCATCTTTCTCCTTCCATCAAAACTCTTTAACACCTTTTAACTCTGAAATTATTGTGTAATGTTAATAGAAGTTATATAATACAAGAAGGGCCAGATAATTTAAGTAGCATCTGTTTAAGATTCAGATGTTTCTTTAATCAGGTACTCAGGGAGAAGTTAGGAACTGGCCCAGTAGCCATTGGCTGACGTAGGAAAAAGTCACCACGCTTCAGAAGTTTGCTGAGAATAAATCTCCTTGTGGATAAGTGATTAGGTGTTACCTCCAGTGTGTATTTATTTGACCATCCTTGTGTTTCTTTCACTTTATCTTTGATTGATTAGCTATTAAGGCTAAGGATAGCGCCATCTGTTTTTGTTAGTGTTGATTAGGTTTCTCTGCAAATTTATGGAAGTAATTGAACCCAAAAAGTTTTCTTCTGACTCTAAGTTGATTTGAAGATCATTCTGGCTTTCCAGTAATTTTGATCTCTGTTTCCTCCCCTAACTTAATTCTTCTGTTTTGCTTATTTTCTATGGGATCAGTTAAAAAAAAAAAAAAAAGAAAAAAGAAAAAACTCTTCTGTGTTGGCATTCTAAGTTGTTTATACCATCCTGACAAGTTGTAGACCTTGGAGATTGTTCTAAGAGTTCTAAGATTGCAAAATCAAATGCTTGTGAAAACCTGCCAGTAAAGCATAGAGGGGTGGTCACTGGGGAGCTGGAGTCTTGTGTCCCATAAGGGACACAGCCACTGTGAAGGGGTCACAGCTGCTTGGCTTTAGCCGATCGTGACCATTGGGGTAGAGGCAGGGTGTTGCCAAACGATCTGATTTCTCAAGGGAAGCTGGAATTAGGGGTGTGTGTGTGTGTGCGTGTGTTGTGTTTGAAATCTCTTTTATATGTTGTCTTAAATGTTTCTTGAAAAGTAGGAATCAAAACATGTCTGGGGCCCAGATTAGGTCCACAAATGGCCGATTTGTAGCTTTTGCTCTAAGGAATAAGTTTTGCTTTTTCAGAAAATAATTAAGCAGGGTATGTGGATGCTGATTCGCCCTAACGAGTTGAGATATTCCTATTTTAATCACCTTGAATAAGGAACTACAACATACTTGACTGTAATGTTTAGATGAATCTGTTGTAGCACATAACTCTCTTTAATCACATGCTATAACTCTATCCTGCTATTTTATAATATAGGGTGCAGAGCAGAATTTTTTCAGAAGAAAGTGGAGTTTTTCTTAGGCTAATAGGTGTCTAGCCAACTGTCTACTTTTATGTATGACTTTCAGATTTCTAAATAGCAGTATTCTGAATTGAACCAAAAGAATCTATTAACATAATAGCTATAGGTTTCCAGAATCCTTGAATGTATTAGCAATTTAAAGTTGGAAAAGAATTGAGTAATCTTGGTTCCTCTTAGTTATCAGATGGTTTATTCATATAATTTCTTTTCCTTTCTTTAAAGATTTGAACATGGAATTCAATCCTTCAGATCATCCTCGGGCCAGCACAATATTCCTCAGTAAATCTCAGACAGACGGTAGGTCCTTAATTTATGCTTCTTTTTTTAAAAAAGGCTCATGTTGGTACTTTGCCTAGTTTTGATTTCTCACTAGATTTAATTTTCAATATGAAATAGAGTCCCTTTAGTGACCCACACATACACTGTTTAATGGTAGTTCTTTGGGGATTTTTTTCTTTTGCAGTGTTTTTAGGATTTCCTATTTGAAGCATCTATCCTCATTTTGTCAATCAGCTGTATTATTTCTACATACATTGTGTCATGAGAGTTTCTGCCCTAAGAGTCAGAAATTTTCCTTTTAGAATTGATATTTGCATACTTTCTCACAAGATCAGAAGTATTTGTTAATTTAGACAGTGTGCAAAAGAAAGCAAAATATAATCCTTAAATAAAAGTACCACTAACTAGCTCTGTTGTGTCAGTTGAGAGCTGAATTGAACCCGTACACTAGGTGCAGATGTTTTCTTCTCTTTTTTTTTTTTTGCCACCTCTATAATAATAACAACCATATCTAAGTTTATTCTTATAGATCGTACAATCTTTGTGGTTCATCCCACAATCTTTGTGGTTCATCCCAAGTGTGTGTGGAATTTCTCCTAGGGGTTTTCTCTCTTTTCAGCCCCTTCCCTGGGCCTTGGCTGCAAAAGAGAGAAAAGATAAAACTTACACAATGTGGCAAACACACATCTTCATTGGATTCCTATAGAAAAAGGTGGCAGGAGAAACTTGTTAAATGATGACATCGTGACCAGGATATTACTTTAGGATGCTGGAGTCCTGCATGATTCTATCTCTGACTTTTTGGGTAATTGCTAAGCTTTAATTCAGAGAAGATCCTAAATGGACCAGAAAATAACCAAACATGTTTAAGATAGTAAGTTCATATATGAAAATTGATAACACTTCAGTAACAGTTAGATAACAATTTTGGCAAGGTATAGTGCTGATTTAATATTATTGGGAATCTTTGGTTAAGCAAGACACTGACTTGATTTGAAAGAGTTTGATGTGTTTATGAAAAGTAAACATTTCCAAGAATAAATTAGTATAGGCATCAAGTATTTAGGTTGGTCCAAAAGTAATTTCGGTTTTTGCCGTTAAAAGTAATAGCAAAACTGAAGTAAGTTTTCGGTGTGCTGGATACAAAAGAAACATTTTTTTTTCCTCTGGTGAAGCAGGAAGCCATTGGGAGGGGTGGGATAATACAAAGGAAGGAGAGTGGCAGTGAAGATGGGTGTTTAGAACCATGAAAAATGAGGGTCAAAACCAAGTTTTGCAGACACTTACTGATAGTACTATAAAAACAAGAAACAAAGTTGGCTGACTTTCAGGTTTCATTCTTGCTTCTTGTGAACTCAGGGTGTAGACCAACTTCATTCAGAAGATGTGCTAACAAGATTCCCATGAAATTGCATTAGAGCTTCTAAGTAGATTTCCCAAATCTTGGTTGTCCTGGTAGAAGGAAACTTGACCTAAGTCAGGGTTGTTCCAGACTTAGCTTAGGGAACTCTGTCTTCCCTCGTCACCTTTGCACTAGATATCGTTCCCTTTCCTCTTCTGGAACATCAGGGCATCGATTACTCTGACCTCTCTGTTTATTGCTTCAGTTTCTTTTTAAATGCTGGATCTTTCTACTCAACATGTAAACATACACGAGTCTCACAGAAAAAGGAAAAATAACCAATATCTCTCTTCAGGTGAAAGCTTCTATGCCATTTCTACCTCTCTTCCTGTCCACTCTCCCATTGGGAACTTCCTCCTACCCCTGCCATTCTGTGGAGCATTGCGGTAGAGTGACCTAAGGACATTTTCTCTTCTTGGGCTATTGCCCACATATGTGGCACTTGCTGTCGCCAAGAATTCCATGCTTTTAAAAAACTTTTTGGCCTTCTGTTTTCAAATGGGCAAGTTGCTGAAATTAAGTGCCTCTAATGAACAATTGCTTTATAAATAATTAGAAAAAAAATCAATTTTAAAAATAGATTTGGTAACTTTAATGAATTAATTATTTGGTGACATGATAATCAGAGAATTGGCTACTTGGTGAATTGGCTTTTGGCAAATTGGTCCTGAGAAATCCTGCCCTTCTGAAAGCTCCTTCTGAGACATCTTCATAAACTTCTATTTGTCCCTGTAATGTAGTATTTCCCAGGGTCTCTCCTTTACCCTCTTACCTTTTTGATTTGCACACAGTTCCTCATGGCATTTGTGCTAACTGTCGTGTCTAACCATATTTTTCTCTGTACTGTTCAAAATGCATGTATTCATCTGCCTGCTGGACATGTTTCTAGTGAAGGCTGTAAGTTCCCCTGACTCAGTATGTCCCAGACAGAACTTAAGAATTCCGGTTGACTTTCTGCATTGTCTACCCTGCCCAGGTCCCTAAGCCAAGGAGGGCTTTGGATTTTCCTAGACTCTGCTCTTCTCAGAGGTGGGCGGCGGTGCTGGAGATACATTTCTTCCCAGCTCCAGGTTCGGTGACATCATATTGGTGGCATGAAATAGCCATAGTCAGAGTATTTACACCATGGAAATTGACGAATGCTACAAATCAGAGCGTTTTTAAAACACATGACTGTTAAACATTTACTAGCACACCATTGCATCCAGGCATTCCAAGGTGTACTCAGTTTCATCTCTTACCCAGCCTTGAACCTGACCACTATTTCCTATTGCAGTTGCTGCCGCCTTAGTTCAGACTCAATTCCCCACCTGTGTTACTGCAGCAGTCTCTAGACTGGGCTCCCTGCCCTTGACCTCATCCCTCTCTAGTCCCGGGTCTGTGCTGCCGCTAGCTAACAGGACTTCCCATGAATCAGATATGATTGTGCCACTGGCTTCCTTAACCTTTCTTAAGGGCTCCCCAGTTGCTTTAGAGTTAAATTTCAAACATCTTAGCATGGAATATGAGGCCCATCGTGATCCAGCCTCTGCCTTCCTTCCCAGCAACTTCCTCTCTTCTTTGCGTACTTCTGAGCTTCCGCCATACTGAAATCACTTGCTTCCTCAAGTCTGCCACTTGCCTTACACATGGATTTCTCCTCCCCTTTTTCACACAGCTGATTTCTTCTGTCCTCCAGGCTCCTCCTGCTGTTACTTCCTCCTTGAGGGTCTCTTTGACCCATCAGGCTGGGTTGAGTGGACCCTTGGTGAGCTCCCATAGGAGTAGCCTGTGGATCTTTCTTCATCATCAGAACCATACTGTGGAATTTAAAACGACCTTTTTGTCTTTGCCACCCGCTAGCCCCTAGAAGAAAAGGCATGTGATACTGGATGTCAGTATTCCTTGTGCCAACCTGACTGGTTGAAAGAAGGAAGATGACAAAACCTGGAAACATTCTTGATTTGATTGTGATTTGTCACTTGGATAAACTTACATTTCCATTACAGGACCACAGCTGTGGATCTTCTACTGTATTTTTTTTTCTAATTGGAAGAAATGTAGTCTGAGACAATAATGCATACTTCTGGTAGAGTCCTTTCTTTTGAATCTGGTGATCTTTTTCCTTCATTCAGGTTGATGTACTTCGACAGTAGTTTAGATTCGATTTGTGGATAGGAAGCCATGGTTGGGATGAGGACAGTCATGTTAGGGCAGCTGTTGCTTGGACCACAGACATGCAGCTCCTGGGTCTTGACAGCTCTGTGTTTCTGCAGACCCCACATTCTCTTTCCCCTCAGCACTTTATGATCTGACAAACAAGTTGTCGGCCATGCGTCCCACCTCCCAGCTGTTCGCTAGACTGATTTAGATGGCATCTGCATGATGTCATCAGAGTTTTCGTGATTGCTGAATTCCTTTTCCTTCTGGATATCCAAGAGATTTAGGCTGGACATGGAACTTTTTTCTTGTTCCAAGCAGGAGAATAGAAACTCCAACAAACTGAGTAAGTAGCCTGCTCATCAGACCCCTTCAGAGGCTGAAGGTAAGGGTATTTTATTCAAAACCAGAGTGACTGCTTTCTTTCTTCACACAAAGAGGATGGCATTGCAGACTTTGTACAGGAGCCGTTCAGCAAAGAAGGGACCAAGAGTTCCTCCTGGGGGTAGAGAAGTTTGCCAGGCCAGAGAGAAGTTTGAGGCCTGCCACGGTTTTTCATGCTACTCTCATTACTTGTGGGGAAGAATTGTAGTTCCTCGTGTCCTTTCCTTTTCTGTACTTATTTTAGTTAATCATTTTCAAAGATGTGAGAGCTTAATATTCTTAAATAATATGAGAAAGCAGCCAAACCACATCTTTTTCCTTTTAATTAGTATGATTTTTAGAGATTTATTGTCTTAACAAAGAATTTGGAGGAAAAAACCCTAAATGTGCGAAATCTATGTTTCTCAGGAGTCCCTTGAAATAATTAAAGGAATAAAAACTGTCCGTCCCTTGAGTGACTTGAAGCCAAAGTAGAAACATTAAAATTCAGAAATAAAAATATGTCATAGTTTTTGTTGCACAACCTTTTAGAAATACAGAAATTGAAAAAATATTCTGTGGCTGTCCTCATTGGGGTGGTGTTTTGGTTCCTGGGCAGTGTTGAACTTTTGCATGGTGAAACAACCGCCCTTTTTGTTCTCCTTTTATCTAGCATTTAGGAGCAACTTTCCGCTGCCCTGTCGGAATCACTTGCCTCTGAGCGCTGTGATGACCTTGCTTTCCCCACCTCACTTGCATTCCCAGCTGTCTTTAGCTCCTTTGTGTGTGCAGATGCTGGGATGCCCCTTTCTCTAGCTGCCCTTAGTTGCTTGGTGTGTCTCCTTCAGGGCATGTCAAGTGCCATGGGGAAGACCTAAGCATACACCAGTGATTTTCATGCTTTGTTCCTTTGCTTACATACCATGGAAAACAATTTTGAAAAACTGAACTCCTTCAAGCATTTTTATGTTGACCTTAAAATTTTTTTACCTTATCAAAGCACATAATTTCTGATGTATTATAAACGTTGATATTTTAAAATAAACTGTCTTTCTTTAACAAATGTTTCAGATGAAATTTAATACCATAGTGATTTGATACCCATCAGTCCTTT